ATAATAATCACACCTGAATAGATGCACAACGATCCGCAACTCCACCAGCAATTATCCTCGCCACAAACACACATCCATCAGTATCACACTTGATTGTTGCACCCAACGCTTCATTCCCCTTCACAAGACGGATCATTTTGATGGCAATCCCCTCTTCATCGTCCACTTCGTACGGTATGTCGGGTAATCGTGGTGAATAACGACCATCCATTATATGCTCATATGTCCACAGCAGACTCTTTATCAGTACATTCATTTTACATATTCCTCGAGACAAATTTCAACAAGTTACTTCTAGTAATTAACTTTGTAAGACCTTAAGTAGATAGATGATATCAATAGGTGTTAAAAGCTCGGCTGAATAATTGTAAATTCTGTAAATGACGACTGCAGATTGGTTTAGAAATCTAGTTTCGATCAGATAAATCATCATAAAATTACCTTGACAACAGGTTTACTTAAGAGTGAAACAAGCTGTTGTACAGCCACTGAAGGCGGAGCTGATTCTTCCCATTCATAAAGTAAACTCTCGTTTAATTCATATATGTTAACACCACTGAAATTAGTACTTGAAATCGTTAAATATTCTGAGGCGATAAACATTTACAATAGAACAGAGCTAATGTACAATGAAAAATGAAATATAAAAACGATGATTAACCTGGAAGGAGGTCGGTTATTATTACTGCTTTTGCGAGTACGACTCGATGATATTAGTTTATGAATCACTGAAATAGCCTTTTGATCGTCTGAAGTGAACTTTTTCTTTCTCGAGCCATTCTCATCAGCGATTCCCTCGAGAATACCTTCGAATGCTTTCACAAACGATTCTAAAGATGTGCCGCAAACACCATCGGGACCCATATTCACAAACCAATTGTTTGATTTGATGTCATTTTGATGAGACCAACGTGAATAACTCTTAAATTATGTGCATAATGCGAATGGCAAGTCGCTGTTAATCGTACGCATTTGCTAAATATTCATCACTGATTCGCTCCATTCAAACAATCCACCGGATTCCAACTTCCACCACAAGTTGCTTTTACAAACGATATAAAATTCCTCAGTAACGTATACTCTGAAACACAATCATAAAATGCAAATCGAACATAGCAAATATCAAATGACGACATTCGTCGTTAAAGACGAATGTGCCATTGGCAAATCGTTTCAAGTGAGCATTGCACCCTACGAAATTAGTATGCAAGAGATTTCTCAGTGGGAATGAAGTAGGAGTAAAGTACGGAATTAAGTGAGGAGGAAATATTGCTGAATAATAGAACAGTAGCGAGTTTTTGTAGAGGAATGAGAGTGATAAAGTACTGTGGGGAGTCATGAGAAAAGAGTCGAATAACTACGTTGCTATTTTAACTGGATATTCAACTCTAGTGTTCGCACGGGATCCCGAGGATCCCGGATCGCGGCTTTTGAATCTCAATCGTGATCCCAGGATTCATGTTTCCTGGATTCACCGGATTATACTGAAGGAAGCGGATTGGGTATGTGGATTGGCTATAGAAAATCGTCATTATAACGTGATGTAATCCATGTCCCTCAACAACAACACATATTCTTTTCCGAGGCTGAAGAATCTGGAGAATCCGACGATTAGTATTGTCAGGGTCACCACATCTTCAAACTATGCACTCTTGACTTTCGCCTGATAGCGTGGTGGTGATTTGTTTACCATTGAATTGTCTGAATTTGTAGTTTCGGAAAAGTACGATGGTATCTCTTCAGAAGGAATTCAATCTCCCTCTTGTGCTTAGCCTGAGATTCCAATGCCTCACCAGTGAATGTAATGCTATTCGCTAGAGATCTCATGATTAATTTCACTTTCCTGAATCTGCACCAAGAAACTACGAATTCATTTTGCAACTGTTTTGTAACACTTGTATCATTATCGTTTAACATATCATAGCACCACACATCATTTCTCATTTAAATTATCAACTTTCGACAACAAAAACGAACTGAATGAAAGGTTTGCAATGTGAACCTCTTGAATTTTCAATCATTCCACAAACAGGCGCAAATTTGAAATTTCGTGGCAGCGAACGTCACAGACACCTCATATTTTCATTTTTAGACGGGGAAAAAAAGCAGAATTGTTGGCTAGACGGGTTCCCACATCTCCGTCTCGGGAATGGTGATAGTAATATCTTGTGCAGTGTTGCGAAGTAGTTTTGATGTCGTCCTTGATTTTCGATTTTTGATATTGTTTCAGCTGAAAATGCGTGAAGATATCGGTTCAGGTGATGAGGTAATGCAAACTGACGATAATATGAATAGCGGTAATCAAGGTGGATCAGAGTCCAGTGAAGGATTTTTTGAAATCAAACAACGGTTTTTGTTGAATCGAAACGAAGAAACAGCAGTCGAACTACTCAAACATTTAACTGATCTAGACACTGGCAATATTGATCGGTAATTATCCAATTGTTTTATTTTTTATTCATAATCCATGCTTTCTGCCTCATTTGTGATCAGTTTCGTAAACTTAGTCGCATCATCATCATCACATCAGTGATGTAAAAATGCTCAATTTTAGAGATGTGTGGCCAGATGTGAAAGATTTGGTGAGATGCTTATTGGATACGATAACACTGGAGCATTTAATCAGAAAATATCAAATAATATTGTTGAATGCGATCAATAAGTGCTCAGAACATGTTATCGATCTGTTAGCTGACTATTTCAACAAGAACGATCGAGTTGTAGGGTTTTTTAAGGATCTTTCATCGTCCGATGTTGCTGTTATTATTGCATTCGCACGTCGAATCACCGATCCCATTTGTGCACAATCCATTGCCGAGGTTTGTTTCTTGAGATTGCTAAGTCATTCAGCTTCGACGAACAATTAATTGCAAGTAATCTTCTTTCGAATTCGGCACCAATGAACTCACTCAATTAAAGATTTTATGGAGATTTGCGCATTTGGAATCAGTGCAGAACGAATTGAAAGCCGACTTAAATACTGAAGACGCAGAGAAACGATTTCGCATTCACCAGGTGTTCGTTTATTTTTGATGAGCCTTAATATTATCACTATTGTTATTGGTATTTGTCATCAAATTTCAAACTATACTCAACTGAATGAATAAGTGATGAATGCTTCAATTCAGGTAACAGCAACGTACTTAAAAAAGCGGGATGATCCATCAAAAATCAACCGTTTAATCGAGGCATTGATATCAGAAGTCGAGTCAGATGATATTTTATCAAAGTTGAATGCTGTTGAGCTTTTGGCTGACGCTGCTTCAAAGTATNCTGAATGATGAGTCAGGTTGAATAAATCCTCTGTTGAAAGGTTATTATCTTCAGTGAATCCTGAAATTTTAGTGACAATTCGACAGCATCATATTTGCTATCGATTGGTGTCGTAGATCGCCTTTATGTGTTACTTCAAAATGTCAAACTATCACCGGATTCGGGATTCATTTTTCCAGGTTGGCCATCTGATTGATTTGGCTTACCTCAACATCTAATATTCTTTTGATTTGTATTTATTGAAATAATTTTGTGACTTATTCCATTAAATAACTGATTTGAAACTATTGTTGTGAATGTTTTTGTCTTCTCTCCCGGTGAGAAACGTAAGCGAATCAAATTTTCAGCGATAATAAAATTCTTCGGCCATTTAGCAGTGAGAGATGTGGAATGTTTAAGGCAATACCCGGTATTCTTGGAATCTCTATTCGATATGGTTTATCATTTTGATTTATTAGACCCAGCCCAACGTCTTCTCACTTTTGACACGTTCGCTGTCATCACTCAATCCAATCAATCCAAGATTTTCTTCAATTCCCTCGCTGGTTTGTTTCCCGCATCACTGTTTTGGTTTTTATTTTACCATTTCATTATGAATGTTTCGTCGTAATTACTGTTATCATTATTATTGCATTTATTCTGTGATGATTGCAGATAAATATGATTTGAATAAAGCAATGAATGCATTTGGTGTGGCCATTTGCAGTGGTCCATTGGAATTACGAGTGCGACATATCGATGCACTTNCTATGATGATGCGACATTCTGATTCTGACAATGTATCTTCTTTCTTTCGGTTCTCTTTTCATTACATTCATTAAATGCGGTCCTATTTTAAGAATGAAGCAAGTGAAATAGCACATGGATGGTTCAAGGAGTTAGGTGAGCCATTTCCGACAGTCGTTCTATCATACGTATCGAAGCCGTTCCCAGAGATCCGAATGGCAACACTGAAGCTGTTTAATGAGCTATTTTGTTATGGTTGGGCTATTAAAATATTCATGACTACTGCTGGGTTTGTTTTTACTATTCGATTCCAATCACTTGATTTGATTTGGTTCTCGATTTAGAAGTAACTCCCGATTTGCGATAACTGACAAGTTTCTTGAATGAGGTGTGTAATTATAAATTTTTTGATGATTAAGTGAAGTGCTGAAGCTGTTTGCTGAGCTGCGATTAAGTGAAAAGACTGAAATTTCAGTTTTATGGAATGTATGTTA